CCTTCCCTGAGGGAACTGAGGAAAAATCAATTGTCCTCTCCTATGAAATTCTACCTATGACAACCCAGCTATACCTCATGCTTCCCTCAAGGCCCTTCCCCATACATGACCATGAATCGAGGTTCAATTTCTCATGCCTATCCAATTTACATCCCGGAAATGTAAAGCCATGAACATGCAGTTAACAGAAAGCCCCAATAAAGATACCATGATTATATTAGCAAGTCTAATGCTTCTTAGGATGATTATCTATGAGGTAGACAGCAAGGGAAGCCAAATTAAATTTTAGACTCAATTCTGACAGGTTCCCTCTCAGTTTCCAACATTCCAGCAGCTGTTACTTCCCTTTTATAGTAGTTTGCACATCTTTCTAATTCTGACTTATAAAAACTCCAACTCACTTTAGAGTTCCAATCCATGTTACAAGTTATGAGAAAATACATGAAATAGAAAACGAACATTTAATATTTTTAAAAAAGACCATGCCACCAAACACACTTCCCTGACTTCCCTCTTTTTTTGATTTCTGATCTATTATTTTTTTAAGATTTTTTTTATATTCCCCATACAATTGCACCCACCTTATTTTGACCCCAATCCCTCCTCTCCCCGCCCCCCCCATTTCCCTCTTTTTAATGTCTCATGAAGAACTTGTAAAGCATGCACTTTTTAAATATTAAGGACAAAATGGAGAAGCTGATTCGTTTCCTATTACTTTGAAAACAAAAATATAGTCTGTATGTATCTCAACCTGCCAGGAATTTGTAGGAATCTTAGTAAATGATAGCAACTACCACTGTTTAGCACTACATACCAGGCAGCATTCTAAGCCCTTTACATTTGTATATTGGTTGTTTAGTCGTAGCAACAATTCTATAAATTGTGTATTATTGCTGTCCTCTTGGGCAATAAGGATAGACATGTGAACAAGAACAGGCCTTTTGTCCACCTGTTCTAGCTGAATCCCCAGCCCCCAGCAGAGCCTTACTCAAGCCGGGCACTCAGTCCACATTTGTTTGCTGTATGAATGGAGAATGAATGGTTGGGCTACTTGCACAACTCCAAGGGATGCCACTCACATTGTATTCCGTCTGTGGTCAATGTGAATAGGTCCCTCTGAGTCACGGGCCCTGATGACCAAGGCTGACATGAGGACTTATTAGGTACTTGGTACCTGATCACACTGTCACCCCATTTCTCTGAGGCACCATCCACACCAGAGAAAGTGGTGAAACCAGGAGCAAAGTCCAGGTGACTGACTAGTTTAAAATGTAAATGAGGGCCTCCCTGGTGGCTCAAGGGTTAAAGACAGCACTGTCAAGCAATCGCCAGCCACTGCAGCACAAGTTCAATTCCCCGCTGGCCAGGGAGCAATACATGGCACAACAGACCTATCCTGCCTCGCCCTCAGCAGTATATTTCAGTAGATCCACCTGTTCTGCTCCCCACTCTCTCTGGTGAATCCTCTCTCTCTCTCTCTCTCTCTCTCTCTCTCTCTCTCTCTCTCTCACACACACACACACCCCACATACCTCTGGCTTACACCCCAGTTCTTACATGCATAAATAAATAAATCTTTTTAAAAAATAAAAAATAATAAAATAATAAAATGTAAAAGAGGGCCTCCCTGGTGGCCTAGGGTTTGGGTCTCAATGCTGTCACCTCTACATCCAGAGTTTGATCCCTGGCCAGGGTGCTGACCCACATGGCACAGTAGACCTCTCCTGTCTTACCCGCTGCTCCCCTCAGCAGTGTATTTCAGTAGATCCACCTGTACTGCTCCCCAGTCTATCTCTGGTGAATCCTCTAACTCCCACAACTCTAGCCTACACCCCAGTTCTTCTACACAAAAATAAAAACAAAATAAAATTTAAAAAAATAAAATGTAAAATATCCCCATTGTTCTCATCATTCACCCATACGCCTAGCCCCTCCCATTCCCTAGAAACAACATAGTCGGAACTGGTCTAGGATTTTCTTCCAATAGGTTTTTATGTTCAAACTTCACTGACAGGACAAGTTTGGAGAATACTGCATTGACAATAGCTGTGATATGTCTGTCTATTTTTCTTTTTACACACACACACACACACACACACACACACACACCAGACTCAAAAACCATCAAGATCAATGTTCCTAAACCTAAAGGGTTGGGCACAAAATGATCTTAGGTGGTACAAAAAGAAATAGTTATTTCATAATTAAGTCTGCATTGATTTCACTTCTTATTAACAACTATTACTTTATTTTTGCAACAAAATTTACCAGAAAAAGGTTCTGCAACAAGCTAGTATAAAGTACATCTTTAGGGGCCTCCCTGGTGGCTCAGGGGTTAAAGACACAGGGCTATCAAGCTATCACCAGCCACCGCAGCAGGAACCACGAATTCAATCCACAATCCACAAGCACCCGCTGCTCCCCTCAGCAATGTATTTCAGTAGATCTGCCTGTTCTGTTCTCCACTCCTCTGGTGAATCCTCTCACCCCCCCGTACCTCTGGTCTACACCCCAGTTCTTGTATGCATAAATAAATTAATTTAAAAAAAAGTACATCTTTAACCAAAAATTATGGTATAGACCTTCCTAAACATCCAACTTTATCATAATAACTAACTGCAAGGAAAAATTCAAGTTCTATCAGAACTGAGCTTCAGTATGAGGTAATAAAAAAAGATGAGAGAAAAGTTTTTTAAAAAATCTAATACTCAATTTGTTTGAAATGTAAAATTGAATACCTTTGAAAAGGCACAGGAAATTACATATTTTAAGAAAAAAGTACTTGGCTTAAAAGTTAATCCAACTATACAGAAGGAACAAAGATTACTGAAGAGCACTTTGGTTAAGTCTCCACTTTGAGGTTCTACCCTAAGTGAGTCTCTCTGTAGGCAATGATTTTCAAGAAAACTAGAAAAAAATACATATGACCAGCACATCAAACCCAGGCTTCCCGGATATGGGAGGACTCTAGATGTTTTCGGTTTTTAAAAAGTTAACTTACAAATAAATATCTATGTATACATGTACATATATATTAAACAAAAAAATATCTCCAACAACCTGCATGCTCACTAAATATCAGGCACTACTGTGTGTGAAGCTTGCTTCCCTGGTTACCTCATTCAGCCCTCTCAACCACCTTTTGAGGTGGTTTCACTGTCAGACCTGTTTCACAAGTGGGGGAACTATTGCTAAATGCCCTGCTAGAGGTCAAGCTTAGGATTTAGAGTTGGGTGTGCATTCAGGAGATCTGAGTCCAAAGCTAGCACTCCTCACATTCACCATCACCACGACATGGTACTAACCACTGCCCCACACTCTCACTCCAGGGGAATGAGGTCTGGGCCTAAAAAGCTAAAAAAAGCAACAATTGCCACTAATGTTTATTGCTTACTAACCACCCCTAGTCCTGTGCTAAGCATTTCACACACAAGTTCACTCAAACCTCCCAAGGGGCCTCCCCATTCACGGTTCAAATGTTCACTAAGGGCCTACCAGGTGCCAGGCCCAGAGTACAATGCAAGAGCCGCAGCTGACCAGCCCCCAGCTCTGGTGGTCCTCTGAAGTGTAATTACAACCTGGGGTAACCAACACCTGAGAAAGGATGAGGATGATGTTCTAGCATAGCAGAGGAAAATAATGACTGTCCAGGGTTGGTCAAAATACAAGCCTGGACCTTCTATTCCACAAAGCATCCCAAAACTGGCTCCCCTTTCAGCTGTGTACCCATTGTATACATCTCCTAGTGAGGGTTGTTAGGATTAAATGATTGGCCTAGCAGAATTGTTTCCACATCTATGGCCTGTTTTCCAAAAAGTCTGGAGAGGCTGCTCAAGGCATCCAAGCCCCATGCACCAGACACCTAGTAGGGACTCAACAAATATTGTTGAAAATAAAGGAGAAGATTGGACGAGACAATAACAGTGCTTCCCACTTGCCAGGAATCGTTTTACAGGCTTCCACCAATTCCATTTGTGACATATTCCCTACTTCACAAAGGAGGAAACTAAAGTTCAGAGAGATTAAGCTGCTTGCCTAAAATCACACAGCTCAGCCGCCAACAGTGCCAGGAATCAAATTCCAAGTGGGTCTGTCAATTCAAACTGAAAACTTGTTTCAAATTCCTGGGAAGTGATTCTTACCCTTATCACCTACTCTCTCCAAAGATTCATGGGGAAGAAGGGTGGGATCAAGATGTCTTCAAGTCAGCACAAAACATTCTGAAAGGTTCATATTTTATATAAAAGTCTTAAACTGGAAAATGAAGGGGAAGGGAAAATAATACAAAACAAAAACACTGCTTTCAACAGCCATTTCGACGTCCTCCCTCACTTGCTGCCAACCCTCCACTTCAGGACAAATCACTGTTCTAGCAAGGAATTGGGAGAATTAGTTACCTTTCCATGAAAATCTAGAATGACGTGATTTTAAAAAACAAAAGCAAAATACAAGGAGGCTCCAAATGCTTGTGTTCAAACGACAAAGGGCCCATCTAGGGGACTGGGGTTTTGTTGCGTTTTTTGTCGTTTTGTTTTTTACGGAGTCCCGACCTCCGCCCGGCCGAAAAGGCAACATTCGTACCGGATCCGTTACAACGTAGCGAGGAAAACCCAGCCGCCCGGCTATTGTTGTAGTCGTGGCCGAGACCGCGACAGGGACCGGGCACAGGCCCGCCGCGGGGGCAGCGAGCTTTGTCCCGAGACCCCGGCGAGAGCGCGCGCGGGTCGCGCGCGGCCTCCACGCGGCCCGGGCCCCCACCCCTCCGGCCCGCGGAGCCAGTAGTCGCCGCGGCCTCGCTCCACTGCGGCCTTGCCCGCGCGCGCGAATCCGGCCGGGCTTCTTGACCCTCGGGCGCCGCCGTACCCCGGCCCCGCTCCGGGCGCCGGCGGCCCCCTCCCCCTCGGCGCCCCGGCTCCATTCAAACCGTCCTCCCAAGCCCCGTGCCGCGCTCCCCCCACGGCTCGCCTTCCTTACCGGGAGCCACCGGCGCCGTCGCCTTCCCGGCGCCGCCCCCACCACTCCGCGCGGGGTCGGGGACAGAGTGGGTGTCTCGCCTCTCCTCACGAAACAAAGAAGCCGCCGACGCCGCCGCCGAGCGAGGGTAAGCCTCGCGCGCGCGCCCGCCTGCCTCGGCTGCCCCCCCACGCCTCCCGCGCCCCCGCTGCGCGCGCACTCGCCGACTCCCTCCCCCGAGCACGGCCTCTCCCTCTTCCGTCGCCCGCCTAGCCGCGTGCGCGCGCCCGCCCACCCTTCCGTTCGTAGCGCGCGTGCGCGCCAGCCCTGCACGCCCCCCCCCTTCGGGAGATGGGCGTGGCCAAGGAGAGCGTCCGCACCCTGCGCGCTACCCGACTATGCCGGACTGACGTGCGCCTGCGCTCAGGGTCTTCGTTTTCTACTCGCCGCGGGGCCCCTGGATGCTGAGCATGCGCAAAGCGGGAGCCACTGCGGCTGTGGTGTTGGTGGCGGCAGCGGGAGGGTGGGGGATGGGACGGAGTGGCGGCGGGATCTGCGGAGAAGGGACGTTTATGAGGCCCTGAGACTTGGAAGTGAGGACTCGAGGCTAAGCGAGAGGACAGGCTGGCCCCAGAATAAGCAGATGTGGCCCGTGTGTCCAGAGGGTCCTGGGAACGTCTTTCATTCCTGGCCAGAGAACTGAGGGGGCCTGTTTGGCCACTACAGGCATGACATGATGTGGCCACCTTTCCAGCAAAACCTGCGGATGCCATTTAGTTCAGCAAATTTTTTTTTTTTAAGATTTTATTTATGCATGCAAGAACTGGGGTACAGGCCAGAGGTGTGAGGGGTGAAAGGATTCACCAGAGATAGAGTAGGGAACAGAACAGGCAGACTGAAATACACTGCTGAGGGGAGCAGCGGGCAAGACAGGAAAGGTCAGCTGCGCCATGTGGGTAGCTCCTTCGCTGGGGATCAAACTCCTGCTGTGGAGGCTGCGGATAGCTTCATAGGTTGCATCCTAACTCCTTGCGCCACCAGGGAGGCCCCGCAAAGAAGACTTTTGAATAAAAAAGCATTAAGGGAGACGGCCTGTGCCAAGTATGAAGGCCTCTCTCTGTGTTTTGAAAATATCTCCAAAAGGCCCTCCCCGGTGGCGCAGCAGGTTGAGTGCAGTGCTGTGAAGCTGTCCACAGCCTCTGCAACACCGATTCAATTCCGGACCAGGCGGGGAGAAACCCACATGGCACGGCAGACCCCTCCTGCCTGCCCTGCTGCTCCCCTTAGCAGTGTCTTCAGTCTTTCTGCCTGTTCTGTTCCCCGCTCTGTCTCTACTGAATCCTCTCATCCTCCTGCACATCTGGCCTGTACCCCAGTTCTTGTATAAGTAAGTAAATCTTTTAAAAAATAATTAAAAAAAACAAAAAGCATTCATAACAAAATAATAATAAAATATCTCCAGTACAGTCATTTGGTCCCCCAATGGACAGCTCTCCCCAAGGTCAAGTCCCACAGTCTGTGACTGGCCCCTACTCTCCTTTTTTAGGACTCGGCAGACTCACAGCCTCAAACCTTTCCCTTATTTTTAATCACTGCTGCCTTTTCCTTTCACATTTCTTGACTGTCCTCTTTATTGTCTACTTGCCTTCAATACAAATGGGGAAGCCATTGTCTGATTTAGTCACCCCCTTATGCCACATACTGAGTAATTAATTTTTTTTTTCTTTGGGCTTCCCTGGTGGAGCAGTGGGTTGAGAACAGTGTTGTGAACCTGTCCACAGCCTCTGCAGTTCCGGTTTGATCCCCAACGGCCGCAGTTGCCCACATGGCAAGGCAGACCTCGCCTATCTCGCCTACTGCTCCCCTCAGCAGTGTAATTCAGTAGATCTGCCTGTTCTGTTCCCCACTCTGTCTCTGATGAATCCTCTCACCCTCCCACACCTCTGTCCTGTACCCGATTCTTGTATAAACAAATAAATCTTTATAAAATAAATATTTTTTTTCTTTTTTTGAAAGATTGCTTGCCCATTGAGTATGGTTATGCCAGGAGCCATAATTGGAGCATAAAGAAGAAGATGAGATCTCTTGGTAGAGACATACATGCCTGAATTTGAAACTCAACTTCGTTGTTAACTAGCCAGGTGGTGCCACTCAATTATACTGGACGTTTCTATACTTTCTTCTCCTATAGAGGAATCAGAAAGCCGGCCACTTGTTAGGTCTCTGAACCTTACCTCATATTGTTGCATAATACATAGTAAATGGACACGTGGGCTCTGAACTTTTATTTCACTCATTCAGGTAATGTGAACCTTGAAAAACACAGATCTGAACTGAGCTGGTAGACTTATACCATGGTGTTTTCAGTAAATGCAGTTGACCCTCCATATCTGGGAGTTCAGCATTCACAGATTCAACCAACCATGCATTGGAACCTGCAGATACAGAGCACTGACTTTTAAGTGACTTTCCCTTCACATTTCTTTTTATTTTTAAGATTTATTTATTTATGCATACAAGAACTGGAGTGTAAGCCAGAGGTTTGGGTGGTGAGAGGATTCACCAGAGAGAGTGGGGAGCAAAACAGGCAGATCTACTGAAATACACTGCTGAGGGGAGCAGCAGGCAAAATAGGAGAGATCTGCTGAGCCACTTGGGTTGCTCCCAAGTGATTTGGGTTGATCAAATTCATGCAGTAGCTTGATAGCGCTGCCTTTAACCCCTGAGCCACCAGGGAAGCCCTCTTTCTTTCTTTTTTTTTTTTTTTTTTTTTTTTTTAGAGATTTATTTATTTATTTATACAAGCACTGGGTACAGTCAGAAGCATGGGAGGGTGAGAGAATTCACGAGAGCCAGAATGGGGAGCAGAACAGGCAGAAGGACCAAGGTACACTGCTGAGGGGAGCAGAGGGCGCGGCAGGAGAGGTCTGTGCACCATGTGGGACCCTGGCCCGGTGGCCAGGGATTGAACCGGTGCTGTAGAGGCTGCGGGCAGCTTTGCAGCCCAGCACTCAACCGCTGTGCCACCGGGGAGGCCCCTCTTTTTTTTTTAAAAAGACTTATTTATTATGCATATAAAAACTAGGGTACAGGCCATAGGTACAGGGGTTGGAGGCCACAGGGGTGAGAGGATTCACCAGAGACAGAATGGGGAGCAAAACAGGCAGACTGACTGAATTACACTGCTGAGGGGAGCATCTGTCAAGACAGCAGAGGTCTCCTGCACCATGTCGGTAGCTGCCTCGCCGGCTGGGAATCAAACTCGTGCTGCAAAGGCTGCGGATAGCTTCACAGTGCTGTGCTTAACCCCTTGCGCCACCAGGGAGGCCCTTCCTTTCACACTTCTTGATTGTCCTCTTTATTGTCTACTTTGGGTGTCTGTGCATTGTGGTATCCTGAAACCAATCCCCTGAGGACACCAAGGGATAATTGTAGTTAAATTTGTGTGTGTTTGGGGCCTCCCTGGTGGTACATGGGATTATGATGCAACCTATGGAGCTGTCTGCAGACACTGCAGCGCAAGTTCGATCCCCAGCCGGCCAGAGAACAAACCATATGGCGCAGCAGACTCTCCTGGCTTGCCCACTGCTCCCCTCAGCAGTGTATTTCAGTACATCTGCCTGTTCTGCTCCCTACTCTGTCTCTGGTGAATCCTCTCATTCCCCCCGCCCCCGCCCCTCTGGCCTGCACCCCAGTTCTTGTATGCATAAATAAATAAATCTTTAAAAAAAATTTGTGTGTGTTTGGGGGTGAGGGGCAGAGGGGAAGTAAGGGTGTTTTCCTTAATTCCCTTTGATCAAGTGTCAGCCATACCTTAGTTGCCCTTCACATGCTATGCACTGAGCACAGGCATACAGTGATGCACCAAGCAGGCAGGATTCCTCCTGGAAGAACAGACAGGCCATGATAGGAAAGTCTTAATTTTATGGAAGACAGTCCCAGGGTGTGATGAGATCCTACTATAGAACCTTCCTGAGACTGAGGAGTCAGCTAGGCTTCTCTGAGGAAGATGCATTTATGCTAAGACCCAAAGGAAGAGAGCATTGGGTGGAAGAAACAGGACGTGCCAAGAGCTGAAGAGGAAAAGAGTGTGGAAATAGAAAATGGTCCATGTGGCTATGAGGCGGGGATCAGCAGCAGCCACACCAGGAAGAGCCTTTTGTGCTTAGTGAGGATCTTTAGCTTTTTCTGGAGCACAGTAGGAAGTTGAAGGACTATAATCAAGAAATAGAATCTGTATGTAGGGAGTACCGGTAGATCATCACAGTGGACCAGAGTGGAGAATGGCAGCTTGCTTTAGAGTGAAGGTGGCAAAGATGGAGGTAGAGGAAATTGAAGGTAGAATGGATTGAAATTGAAGTAGTGGACCTGACAGTGAACTCTCGGAGGGTCAGGAGTGGAACTCCAGTTTTCGTTACAACTGGCACATAGAAACGTGAAAACTATGGCAAGGAAGGATCAAGAGTCCTGTTTTAAAGACAAGATGTCTGTTGGGAATAATCCCATAAGTCAGTGGTTCATGACTACATTAGAATCCCAGTTCAAGCAAATCTGATGGCTGTGGCATTTATATTTAAGTCTATGATACATTTTGAGTTAATTTTGTATATGGTTTAAAATAAGATTGAAGTTCATTTTTTTCCATAGGCATGCTCAGTTGTTCTAACTAACACCAGTTGTTCAAGACTGCCCTCTTCCTCCACTGAATTACCTTGGCTCTTTTGTGAAAAATAAGTAAACTGTTTTAAGTGTAAATCTCTTTCTGAATTCTATTCTGTTCACTAGTTGATATGTCTACCCTTTGCTAAGACCACACTGTCTTGATTACTGTAGCTTTATAATGAGTCTTGAAATCAGGTAATCCTCCACCTTTGTTCCTTTTCCAATTTATTTTGGCTACTGTAGGTACATTTCCTTGTAAATTTTAGAATCAGCTTGTTAATTTTCACCCAAAAAATGTGACTTCAATAGTGATTGCATAAAATCTGTTGACCAATTTGGGGAGAATCACTGTCTTAACTATATTGAGTCTTCTATTTTAGAACATGGTGTTTCTCTATTTAGGTCTTCCCTAATATCCATTAAACTTATTCCTTTCTAACCTTTCCTATTCCACTGGAATGACTCTTGTCAAGTTCACAGAGTTCA